TAGTAAATGATTACCAGCCTACAATCCACACTGCCAGAGAAACTAATAAACAAGGAGGACCCTAAAAGAGACAAACATTGTCCCCTGGGGAAGGGGAAAGGGTCAAGATCCTCTGAGCAAACTGAGAGCACGGGAAGAGGGGGGAGGAAGCTACGAGAATGAGAAGGGAGGAAGGGGAAGGATGCAGAGGTCATGAGGGAGCAGAAAGGTTGAGTCAGGGGAAGAATAGAAGAAAGGATATGTGATAGGTAGGGTTTTAGTTGGGGGGGGTGGTAGGGGAGGACGGGAGGGAGAAGGGAACTGGGATTGTCATGTAAATCAATAGTTTGTAATTCAAATTAAAAATGATAGAAAAAAAAAGAAACAGGTGAAGTGGGGATGGTGACATATGCTTAGAATCCCAGTGGCTTACAAGGCTAAGAAGGTAAGAAGACTATTGAGCCCAGGGCATCCAAGGCCAGCCTGGGTAACCATGGGAGACTCTCTCTCTCACAAACCAAGGGGAATTCTCATAAATTGGACAGATTTATATCTAAAGATCAGAAATTCACAAAAAATATATTAATGAAAACTAAAAAAGACTGAGTTGGCCACAATTCTAACATGTATCAGCTTAGCAACTCAGGACATTATTTAGCCCTCTGGCCTGTGGAGAAACAGCACCTGACCCAAGAAGAGGGAGGGGTTAGGCAGACAAACATTCACACACTGTGCTGGGGGCCCTGAAGCACATGGTGAGTGGTGCATGATTTTATGTAAAATAAGCACAGGAACAAACTAGTCAGTGCTAGAGACAAAACAAAACAGTCTTCCAAAATACGCTTGAAGGGCTTGAAGGGTGGCCTTGAGCCTGAATCTCTCTTCCCTTAGTTGTAAAAGCCTGGAACTGCAGGCATGAGCCAATGTGCCTCTCCAAAACATCTTGTGTTGTTAACACCAAAGCAAGTCCTCTTGACAATTACACTTTCAGAGTATACCTTCACTTAAGCAGTGTGTTATAGGTTTGTGAACTATGAAGATCAATTATTTTCAGAATTACATGGTCTATGTGGTGTGACTCAAGAACTAAACTGTAGGGAAAAAAAAAATCAGGAACTAAGTCCTCTGATGAACCTCTTAGTGGAACTCCTGCAGACAGCCTAACTCATTACTGTGCAACACCTGTGACAGGCCAGAGCTGCTTGCAAAACACACCAAGCTGACAGGGATGTCTGCTTGATTCCTGGTGATTTCTTAAGGATTGTTTGCAATACTGAAATAGCAAAAAAGACAACAGGAAAATTCCAAGAGAATGGAGAATTTGCACAGCCCACAGATTTACCCCTGATTAATATAAGGGAGCAGCAGAACCCTGGATTACAAGAAACCTGAAAAGGGGGTAAAGGTGCCAGATCAGTCACTGGGGTTGATAGCACTCCAGGCATATCCAACACTCTGAGCCTCAGCGTCCCCCCATGTGTTGTACCTGCCCTTTGGCAAAGTACCAAAAGGAATTGAGCTGTCTATAATCACATGACATAACTGAAAGGAGGCTGTAAAAAACGAAGAAATCAACTGTCTTTAATATATATATATATACATCACTCATTCCTACATCTACAGACCAAACATAAAGGCCAGGTGTTTCTGAATGGGAGAAAAAGGTCACATGGCTTTTAGACGATGGGGGAGGGCGAGCAACTGCTGAAAGGAGGAAATGACAGACCTCAGAGCCTTGAAAAACTTACCGCTGTAATTGTAGTTTTTAAAGAAGGAACCACACAGTATTTTAAATGTCGAGATCCGTGATCTACTTCTTCTATTACCTAGTGTTTACTTTCAGGAGAGTGGGCTACTGGCAAGGATGTCAATAGATCTGTAGAAGGCTTATCATACCAGCTGGGTATTCTACAGACAACAAGCACCTAGGGCCTTTATAACCAGATCTCCAATGACTAAAATTCAAACCACAGCTAATCGTTGAGAATTACATTTGAAATACTACATGTTACCTACCAACACATCTGCACTTTTCAGTCTTTCACTTGTAGACAAACAGTGCTTCACACTTTTCCTTTGAGGTTTTCCAGCTGCAGAATCCTCTTTTTCCTCCTGCTCAGTTTTCAGCTGGTTTGATGCTGTGCATCTGAAACCTTCAGTATCTTCACTGAGGTCATTTTCTGTGCTAAGCTGACTGCTTTGCTCACATGTCTTTGACCTTTTTGAGTCTTTAATTGAACAATTAGTTTTGTACTTGTTGAAACAGTCAGACATTTCCGACACAGTCACTTTTAGTTTTGAGTCAATACCTTTTGAATCATCACACTGGAGTTGACTGGGGGATCCTGGGTTATAATTCTCATCTTTTATTTTCTCCGTACATTTATTTGTGCAAAACTGCTTGTCAATACTGTTGCAATGTGAACACTGTTTCTCAATTTCACGGCTCATTTCTTGCTCCTTATGTTGTGATTTACACGGTGTACTTTCCAATCTGCTAATCAAATCCAAGTTGCTTTCATTGCAGAGAGTCATATTAGATGAAGTTAGTAAGCCAGCAGCCTTGTGTGCATCCTGCCCGGTGCTGTGGATGATGTCATCGGGATGCTCCTGATGCTGAGTTCTTACTTCATGTTTCAGAGACTTTTCTTGAGGACTGTATTTGAAAGATCGGAAGCATTTACTTGGTTGTGGGCTTTTCCCATCACCTCTGTCTCCCAGTAAGGACACTTCTGTATGAGCAGCAGAAAGAGATGCATTGTCTCTGTTCACCTTCAACAAAGTTTTGTCATCATATGAACTCCTGAACACTTTAGAAGGAATGGAATTGGAGTCGTGCTTGCTGAATGCAGGCCGGGGAATGTGAGCTGTGGGGTCGATGTGTTCCAAGTGCTGTGCGATCCTGGCTATAACATCCTGCCGCTCCTGGAGCAAAGAGCCAATGAGTGGGTTTGTCTCCCCAACAGGCTGGCGAGGGTAAGGGCTGTGAGAGGTGCACGTTTCTCCTTGGGTAGTTTCCGACTTCCCTCTCCCTTTCCCCTCACTGGTGTCGTCTGAGGAGCGAATTTCGGGGCTCCCAAAAGAGACTGAGAATGCTTCTTTGCATCTTCTCACACCCTCGATTTCTTGTGGGACTCGGTGAAGCTTTGAGCCAAGTGAAGTGGACTCCTGGGTGCTGAATGGGTGCTCTGACATGCGAGAGGAGCTGGGGTCACAGTGAATCAAGTGCTGAGCAATCCTGGCAATGACTTCTTGTCGATCCTGAATCAAGGAGTCCATTAACGGGTTAGGCTCCCCCACTGCCTGCCGGGAGCTCTGACAGCTGGAAACACTGGAATCGATCACAGAGAGTGATTTCAAAGTTCTCACTGAAGCCTCCTGTGACCTTACTTCTCCCATGGTGCCACTGAAGCCCAGCACACTGGCTTGAGATGCTCCGTGGTCAGACTTGCTACCTGTGCCTGGGCAGAGCCTGACATTTCTAATGGCTGCAGTGAACTCAGGAGTCATGCCACTTCTTACATGCAGGGCACTCACAGGTGCCATGGTCCATGTGTGCTTGTTACACAGACTCTGTGAGCTGCTGGGACAACGGTGTTCTATTTCACCAGGGCCACGGTGTTGGTAGGCTTTTAGCTCCTGCTCTTGAATTCTCTTCTCATAAAGAATGTTAGTATGAATACTACAGGTCAAAACCGGGTAATGAGCTTGTCTGGGTAGGGACTGAACGCTGACTTTCAAGGCCACGTTGTGAGAGACGTTGGGAACGGGAAACACATGCTCAGTTGGAGTCTGTGAAAAAGTCCACTGCAAGTCGACGTCAGCTGCACTGATTCTAGAGCCAAACAACAAGGTCAGTCATCAGCTGCCCATGGTCTCTGTAAATCACTTCAACGATAAAAAGCAGTCATATACTTATCTCTGCACTAATCCCCACCAAGGTCCGCATTCAGCACTCTACCAGGCATGTCACCATTAAAACCAACACACATGGCACAGCTAAAACCAACACACATGGCACAGCTAAAACCAACACACATGTCACCCCTAAAACCAACACACATGGCACAGCTAAAACCAACACACGTCAGCCCTAAAACCAACACACATGTCACCGCTAAAAACAACACACATGTCGCCCCTAAAACCAACACATATGGCAGAGCTAAAACCAACACACATGTCGGGGTTGGAGAGATGGCTCAGAGATTAAGAGCACCGACTGCTCTTTCAGAGGTCCTGAGTTCAGTTCCCAGCAACCACATGGTGGCTCACAACCATCCCTTATGAGATCTGGTGCCCTCTTCTGGTGTGCAGATATACATGGAAGCAGAATGTTGTATACATAATAAATAAATTTTAAAAAAACCCAACACACATGTCACCCCTAAAACCAACACATGGCACAGCTAAAACCAACACACATGTCACCCCTAAAACCAACACATGGCACAGCTAAAACCAACACACATGTCACCCCTAAAACCAACACACCTGCCACCCCTAAAAACAATACACATGTTGCCCCTAAAACCAACACACATGGTACCGCTAAAACCAACAGGCATGGCACAACAAACTGTACTTGGAAGAAACGATTGCTTTTATTATTTTGTTCTTTAAGACAGTTTCATAGCTCAGTGGTGGTGGCACATGTCTTTAATTCCAGCACTAGGGAGGCAGAGGCAGATCTCTGAGTTTGAGGACAGCCTGTTCTACAGAGCAAATTCCAGGGCAGCCAGGGCTACACAGAGAAACTCTGTCCTCAAAAATAAAACTACAAACAAACACAAACACAGTTTTACTCTGTAGCCCCGGATGTCCAGGAATTTCCTATGTAGTATAGGTTGGTTTCAAACTTGTAATGATCTTCCTACTGTAGCCTTCTGTGGGATTACAGGCATGAGCCGCTATGCCCAGCTATCTTTTTAAAAATTTAAAAAGATAACTTAAACACTAAAAGCTCAAGAATATTACATTTTAATCGTATTTGCCAAAATAGAAAGAAAAAAGGACTTTGTGTGTATTATTAAATAAATGAGTTCTGCTCATTTTATTGAGCAAAATAATTTAGAGACTATTTCATCTGCCTAAAGAAATCAGGCTGTGGTGGCACACGCCTTTAGTCCCAGCACTGGGGAGGCAGAAGCAGGTGGATCTCTGTGAGTTTGAGGCCATTCTGGTCTACAAGAACTAGTTCCAAGACAGCCTCCAAAGCCACAGAGAAACCCTGTCTTGAAAAACCAAAGAAAAAAAAGAAAGAAAGAATTAGTTGCTTTGCAGTCTGCATGTTTATTTATGCACACATACAAACACACAGTCACATACATATGCATATAGGAACTCCCAAACACAAATACACATGTGCTTTTTTTTTTTTTTTTTTTTTTTTTTTTTTTTTTTTTTTTTTAAGACAGGTTCTTGCTATTTTGCTCAGCCTCAAATTCACTGCTCAAGCAGTTCTCCTACCCCAGCATCCTGAGTAGCTGGTGCTGTGGGCACACAGCACCATGTCCAACAATGTTTATGTGTTTTAGAAAGAAAACTCCAGATCAAATGAAGTCACAAACAGGTGACCCCTGTTTCCACTTCATCATGACGTTAAGGCTGGCTCAGCTTTCTAAAGTACGCTTTAAATGCTTTCGAAACATTATTCTATAATTTAACCCACCAAGCCATCTTAACAAGATTTAAACCAACAAGATTACCCATATAATAATACTTTCTTAACTTGTCTTGAGAAAAACCTCATCAACTTTTACTGATTTTCATTTATAGATGAAGGAAATATGCTTCTGAGAGGTAAGACACCATTCAGTAAACTTGCCAGTGACCATGCACTGTCCCTTTTCTCCCTGGACATACCTGTAAAGAATATTTCGTGGGATAGCACCATGAGAAACACTCAGCCAAGCACTTAACTGAGAAAAGAACACAAATGATCGGACAGCCAGCAGAAGAGCCTTCTCTTCAATGAAGCGATCGCCATTCCTAAGGAGAAGAAGGTACAGTCACATGTCGGTAAGCATGGGGCGACTGCTTTTGCAGGAGAAAAGTGGGAACAAGCGCCTCTTGGGATGTGTGCTCTAAGAGTATATACATGAACTTCCTAATGTCACTTGGATTCATAATTACTTAGTGAAAACAGTAAGCATCTCAACTTTGCCACATTAAAAAGGAGGGATTCAGAGACATGATGCAGTATTACACAGTACGGTGTACGGGGTCTTGGAAAATTTGAGACCAAGTTTAACAACTCACTGTCGGGGAACTGGCTCCAAGATCCACCTCTCCAGTAACAGCGCATCTTGCTTAATGGCGGGGTCATTTAGATCCGTCCCTTCTGTGCTAGGCCCCTCATCGCTGTAGCAGCAGTCTGGCAGGAGCATCACTTCCACCATGATTGGAAGATTGTTTTTCCACAACAGTGTAACCTCAGATCTGGTTCGTCTGGCTTGGCGACACTTAAGAAAAAATAAAAATACACAAATGTCTCAACAACTGCCCTAATTTTGTATTTAGATTTCAGAACTGTAATTGTAGACATCTGCATAAGAAGCATGGCATGTGTGGTTGCGCTTGTGCGGGTTTGGCCGTCTCGTTTTTTTGTTAAATGTTGTGCTCCAGATAGAACGCTCTCGTGCACAGAGCTCAGTGTGGAACATTTATGCTGCATATTTTCTTGAGAAGGTAATTTTGCTCTATTTTATGGGAAAGAATGGTTACAGTGTGTCTAGTTTGTCAATTTCATCAGTTCATAAAAAAGATTCTGAAACCTAAAGACCAGAATATAAAAAAATTCATTTTCATTCAACAATCAAAAAAAAAAAAAAACCAAGATTATTTTCTTAAAGAATTTTTTTGAAGTTTAAAAATTAGAATGCAGCTGGGCGTTGGTGGTGCACGCCTTTAATCCTAGCACGGAGCCAGAGGCAGGCAGATCTCTGAGTTTGAGGCCAGCCTGATCTACAGAGCAAGTGCCAGGATAGGCTCCAAAGCTACACAGAGAAACCCTGTCTAGAAAAACCAAAAAAAGAAAAAGAAAAGAAAAGAAAAATTAGAATGCTAGAGAGGTGGCTCAGCATTTGAGAGCACTGGCTGCTCTTCTAGAGAACCCAACATGGTGACTCACAATCATTAATTGTAATTCCAGCTCCAGGGGATCTGAAGCTCTCTTCTGGCTTCCGTGAGCACCCAGCATTCAAGTGGTACACAGACATACATGCAGGCAAAACACTTATATGTACTAAATAAATTTTTTTTAAAAAAATTAAGCCAGGAAGTGATGGCTCATGCCTTTAGTCCCAGCACTTGGGAGGCAGAGGCAGGCAGATCTCTGAGTTTGAGGCCATCCTGGTCTACAGAATGAGTTCCAGGGCAGCCAGGCCTATGTAGAGAAACCTGTCTCAAAATAACAACAACAATAAAAATAATTTAAAGTTCAAGAATATATTTAAGAAATGACTGGGAGAAATTTAAAAAAATATATTATGTGCTACTTACTAAAATGCTTTAACATGCAAAATAACAACAACAAAAAAATAATTTAAAGTTCAAGAATATATTTAAGAAATGACTGGGAGAAATTTTAAAAAATATATTATGTGCTACTTATTAAGATGCTTTAACATTTTTCTTTTAAAATATGGATATCACAAAAATTATTCCCATTGAAAAAAATACAGGGGAGGGGCTGGAGAGATGTCTCAGTGGTTTAGAGCACCGACTGTCCTTCTAGGGAACCCAGGCTCAATTCCCACATGGCAGCTCACAGCTGTCTGTAACTCCTGTTCGAGGACACAACACCCTCACCCAGACATACATGCAAAGCACCAATGCACATAAAATAACAAATTTTAAAAAAAGAAAAAAAATACAGGGGAAATAGTTATTGTAGGAAAATCCTCATAACACTAGTTTATCTAATGAACACAAAATGGGCAGGTCAGGGTAAAACCCTACATCTAAAGAAGAGGGAATCACAGCAATGAAGGGCTGCCAACCTTCCTTCCTCTCAGTGAAGTTACCTACAGCACTTTAAAGCATCCACTCATTGAACACAAAAGTCACTGTGATAGAAAAGCAGGGATGAAAAACATGGAACCAGTTTACACAAAGGCCAAACCCCAACAGAATGGAGCCAGGTCCTCACCTGGGCCAGCTTGTCGCTGCATTCATGTCTGGCTGTTCCTGGGAAGCGAGACTGTGCTGGAGGGCAGTGGAAACTCTCTGCACGCCCTTTTACAGAGCACTCGGGTGTCCGTCCTTCTGTTATCAGCAAGGCCAGAGAGACCAAGAACTCCTCTGCATCATATTCAAAATACTCATCCAGGGCATCTGAAATTTAAAAAAAAAAAAAGGAAAATTCTGCGCTGTATTAAAAATTCCATCACTCAAATTAATCACATTTTTTTTTTTTTTACAGTGTTGCTGTTTACTTATTTATCATTGTGGAACTGAACCCAGGGTCATACACACACTAGGCCAGCGCTTTGCCATGCTAACAAATGCTCTACAACTGAGCTATATCCCTAGCTCACTAATTTTTTAATTAGTTAATTGGTTGTAGATGGGATCTCATGTAGCCCAGGCTGGTCTTGAATTCACAAGCTGGTCTTGAGTTCACAAGTTGTAGAGATTGGTCTTGAACTCCAAACCTCCTTGTCTCTGGCTCTTTTTTTTTTAAAGGCAGGGTTTCTCTGTGTAGCCTTTGCTGTCCTGGAACTCACAGTGTAGGCTAGGCTTTCCTTGAACTCACAGAGATTCGCCTGCCTCTGCCTCCCTAGTGCTGGGATTCAAGGCATGAACCACCACTTCCCAGCCTGCCTCTGGCTCTTATGGGCTGAGATTATAGGTGTGCAACACCATGCCTGGCTACTCCAGCTTATTCTGCCACTGAGATACACCTCTGGCCCTAAAGTACTCAACAGGAACTCATGTGAGCTGGGTGCAATGGTATATGCCTATAATCACGACACTGAGAAGGCTAACACGGGAGAATTTCTATAAATTTGTGACCAACCTAGGCTATACAGTGAGTTGCAGACTACTACTGGTTACATAGCAAGACTCCATCTCAAAAACTCCAAAACTAAACCCCCAAGAAACAAAACCCAAACCACTGTAGGATGAGGACCCCTGCCTGTATCCTACAGGCAATCAAACCAAGAGAGGAGCTGGCCCACACTCACCCCAGACAATCTGCAACTTGGACAGATGTCTGGCTCCAGAAACTAGGCTTTTAACCACCATAATGCCACTGTTCACCAGGGCTATGAAATCTGCTATTATACACTTTCTTAAATAGAAATATATATACATATATATTTATTTATAAATATATATGCACACACACAAACACAGACACACACACACACACACACATATATCTGACACATGCTTTTATTCATTTGGTATTATGGTGATATAGAATTATTTCTGGAGATGGGACTATAAATTATAATAATGTGCTGATTGGAAAAGAGAGGGTCTCAAATCTCCTTTGGGAATGAAATTAGGTCACAAATCAAAGGTATTCAACAGATAATCCTATGGACATGCAATCATACTTCCTAACTTTAAATTTTTATTACATTTTATTAGTGTGTGTGTGTGTGTGTGTGTGTGTGTGTGCATGTGTAGGTGGCTGTATGCCACAGTGCAAACAGAGGTCAAAGAACAAATTTGTGGAGTTGATTCTCCTTTCACCATGTGAGTTTCTGGGACTGAACTCATGTTGTCAGGATTGGTGGCAAACACCTTTACTTGCTGAGCCATCTTGCTGGCCCCCTTATTTCTATTTTTTAAAAGATCATGTTTTACCTTATGTAGTAGACATCTTTCCTTCTCATAAGTAGGTCTATATTTTTATTTAGCTATAGCTATGATCTATTTAACCAGTTTGATACTGATGGATATAAAGGATGACTCAGTTGTTTTCTAAACCGACATAAGAATCTTTATAAATATGCTTGAAAACTAATATGCTTGAATATTCAGCTTAGTGAACTATTATTTCCTTGGGGTAAATTCACAAAAGGACAATTTTTATTCATATTAACAGAATAGTCTCTACGAAGATAAAAAAAATTATCCTAAATAAATTATCTTCTTAGCAATCTCCTGGGCTTTTTCCTGGCCTCTTTTCCATTTTACTCTGTGGTATGAGTGGCCTGGAATCTTTCTACTACCTTGGCAGACTGTAGAATTAAGTCACACAGAATGTATAGCAGCCCAGGAAGCCCTGGGAAGGACACTCCTCCTTCATTCCCGGGCACAGAGCTGTGTGCTGCCCAACTGTGTGGGGTTTTCAAGGATGCAAAGGCCGGGTACTGGTGTAGTTTGAGGCTCTGCTCACCCTATGTCTCTCAGGAAGTGTGGCTGTGATCTCTCCTAGGTTTTTCAGAGCTATTTCTGCCTCCCTTTATTTTTTATTGGTGTATTAGTTGTTTTGTTTTTAAGATGAAGTCTAATTTAGTACAGGCAGGCCTCAGACTCACTCCATGATCATGGCTGTCCTTAATGTTCTGATCTTCTGCCTCCACTTTTCAAATGCTGGGACATACCCAGTTCCACTGCTGCTGAAGAGCAGAGATTCACAAACTCTCAGGGTTGAAAGTCTACTTCAACCACCCACATAAGCCAGAATTGCCCTGGCAACGGTCAGCAGCCTGTCCTGGCACATCTAGTGGAGAGGCGGCCTATTTCATCTCTGGATCTTCCCAAGTGTCTAGAGCTTTCACTATGCCTAAGCTGCTTACTTTTCTAGTTGAGTGGGCTCAGTCCAGGGCCTCAAGAACATGGCTCTCCAAAGCCCCAGCCCAGCCCCAGCTCCCAGTCAGACTGCAAGCACAGTGCCCAGAGGCAAGGGATGCTGGTCCATGCCCTACCCTAGTGCAGATCTGTCCTGCTAAAGCCTCACTCCATTATAATTCTCAGGGTACAAAGGTTTTATTATCACTCTTCTTCACTGGTTGGCTTCCTAATTAATCCATTAATGACCCCTTCAGCTTGTCATTATCGCCATAGCTGTCACACAGAGCTAGCTGTTCTAGCTGGACAATGTGACATGTACTCTAATATGGATGCTGCCTGAGACCCAGGTCAACTCAGCTTTCATGGCTCCCTGCGTGGTCTCCCCACCTCAGACAAACTCCTGGCTACAGAGCTCTTATCCTTCCCATTCTCTTTTCAACCCACCAGGCATGACTTTCTCCTTTTCTTTATCTACTACAGCTTTGTGAAAACTCCCTATCTTTTCTGTGAAAGGCCTCTGTCCTACCTGCTCTCTACGCTGACCTCTTACTGACTTCCTTCTCTGCCCAGAGCTTGCATGGCTGTGGCAAGACGCTGGCATGCAGCCTAAAGCCATGCCTTCCACCTACATGTGGGTACATGTTACCATTTTCCATGGACAGACTATTTCAGACAACCTTCTCCAAAACTTGGGGCACTAACCACTAACGTGACCAGTAGAAAGGAAAGGCTGAAGCAGCCAAGCAGTACTATAGGTGAAGTCAGATGAACTGTCCTGACAGCTCTGTACCACCCAAAGTCTCCTGCTTCTTCACAGTGACAGTCTTAACATGGCATTGTGGAACCCACAGAAATGTGAAACCAACCGCCCACAGTTCTCTCTAACCTCCCTATGTACATTTGCACACACATACAGTCCCCTACACACTGCATAATACACATAACACTGTTTTTTTAAATAATTGCAAAAAAATCTTTAAATCATCAATACATGATTATGAGAAACAGCAGGAACAAACTTATTATGGATTGACTTGGTTTTTGTTTCATTTTTCTTTAAAGATTTGATTTTTTAAAATTAAGCACATATATGTATATCTGTGTTTGGGGGTGTGCAGGTGAGTGCTGGTGCCTTCAGAAGCCAGAAGAGGAAGTTGGCTCCACCAGAGCTGGGGTTACAGGCAGTTAAGAGTGGCACAACACGGGTGCTGGGAACTGTACTCTGGTTCTCTAGAAAAGCAGCAAGTTCTCTAGACTATAGAGCCACCTTCCTAGCCCCATATACAACTTTCCCCTTTAATTTCTGTATCTTTGCATGTGTGTGAGTGGTCATATGTGTGTGAGGGTGCATGTGGAGGACAGAGGTTGTTGTGTGGTGTCTTCCTCAACTGCTCTCTGTTTTCTCTGAGGTAGGCCCTCTGGTTGGACCTGGAGCTCACCAATGAGGGAGTGCAGCTAGCCAGCTGGCCTGGGGGAATCTGCTGTCTCCACTTCCAGATCTGGAGCTGCAGGTGGGTGTCAGTCAGGCTTTTATGTGGGTGTTGGTGGTCTTCATACTTGGGGCTTCACCCTCTGAGTCATCTCCCTAGCCCCTCTTTTCACTTAATTAAACTGAGATAACATCTTTCAGACTGTAGTCGCAAGGGTTACTTGCACATTAGGAACACAACATAATTATTCATTAAAATTAAAATAAATATCATTGGACACTACTTCCCTCCTTTATGGATGTGAAAACTTTAAAACAACAACAAAACAAACAAAAACAAACAAACAAAAAAAACAAACAAAAACAGGGTTTCTCTGTGTAACAGGCCTAGCTGTCCTTGAACTTGATTTGTAGACCAGGCTGGCCTTGAACTCACAGAGATTCTCTTGCTCTGCCCCCCTTGAGAAAACTAATTTTTTTTTTTTTTTTTTTTTTTTTTTTTTTTTTTTTTTTTCCTGGCACTCGCTCTGAGACCAGGCTGGCCTCAAACTCACAGAGATCCACCTGCCTCTGCGTCCCGAGTGCTGGGATTAAAGGCGTGCGCCACCAACACCTGGTGAGAAAACTAAATTTTAAACCATTTTCCCAAGCTTTCATACATTATCACCAGGGAGAGAGGCATTTTGAAGGCCTCTCTCCAACAGTAGTTCTCATCAACTCTGACTTATTTATTTCAGACAAAACTCAAAGGTAATCATCCCAATTTAAGGCATGGTTTCTAGGAAGCTCTCCGGACAACTTTCAAAGAGTCCTAGTCTTAAATAATTTAGACAGTTCTCTTGTTTCTTTGGTTAAGAAATAAATAAGTTATCGTTTAAGAACTCTGCAGCTCATAATTAGCTCTTCTGGTTGTATTTTTTATTTAATTTCATTTGTTTTTACTCTCTCTCAGTGTGTGTGTGTGTGTGTGTGTGTGTGTGTGTGTGTGTGGTGCATATGCCCGAGTGCAAGCTTGTTACCATATAACGTGTGTGGAGATCAGCTGGTGTTTTCTGGAGTCAAGTCTCCCTTCCTACCATGCTGCTATGGTTTCTGGGGATGAACTCAGGCTTGTTTAGGGTAAGTGTTTTTACTTGCCGAGCCAGCTCACTGG